AACATATAGTATTGATTTTTAAAGACCAACAATCATGAACACATATATTCCTTTGTAAAGATTACCCTCAGTATCTTGACCAATTAATCTACCACTGTGGTATTTACAAGATTGCTGTAAATACATTTCATCAAAAAGGAGAACACAATCATTGCTTATTTTTCCTTCATTTAATAACAGTTTTAATGATTTTATTGAATCGATTCCACCAGAAACTAACTTCTTTAGTAGTGACATTGATGGCAATGGGAGTTATTTCAAAAGAAGAGAATAGGCCTGAAATGATGAATATCTTTGCATAAGTGCAAAACGTAATACTTGTGAAGAATATGGAGGACAACCTTTGGATTTGTAAAAAATTAAATTTGATAGTTCATTAACTAAACCATATGAATTTTCTTCAACAAGGTTGTGCAAACACCATTTTATTTAAAATTGATAAAACTTGTAAGCTTACAGTTGTTAATTGTTCTAAACCATTTAGGGAGTGGAAGTAGAGAACTTTTGTAATGTAACTTTACGTGCAAATTGTTATCGATGCTTATTGATTCAATAAATGTAAGTGTGTCTACAAAAAATAAATGATAATATAACAAAACTTTCATATCTTTGAAAATAAATCCATTTGTAGAGTTAGATTCATGAAGCATATCAATGTTTTTTATTTTATCCATTTCTTGAAATGCATGAATTTCATCTGGGATGGTAGAATGTCGGTCAGTTGGAGGTTTACGAAAAGTAGGAATTTTAGGTATTATAGATCTATAATCATTTATTCTGATGAAATTTCTATTCTATTTTCTATAGAAGATGGAATAGAAATTTCATCAGAATAAATGGTTGGAACAGGGTTTAGCTCATATTTTAAGGTAACTCGTTTTCCATATTTTAAATACTTTTTTTCAAAATGTTTCAAGCATATAACTGAATGCTTCCAATCTTTTCTGTTAACAAATTTCATCGATTTTTCTTCTTAAACAGTATCTTTAGGAAAACTAAAAACAGCTTTACTTGCACTAAGAGAGCTAGATTCATTTTTTTTAGATTTATAGCCAGTTCGACAATTAAAAACAGCACATTTGTTCACCATTATATCCAAAACTAAATTTCCAACTTAATCAATATCTCCCAAAATAAAATTTAAACAATATTAACTGGCAGTATGAAAAATAACCGAAATGCTAAAAACTGGCCTTCTAATTTTTGGCCTATTTATGCAACATATCCGGCCGTGTATAAAGTATGCCATGATAGGTGCTATTAAAATTGGTTTGCAATGTCTTTATTTGATGAGTTATTTTTTTTTGATTTGTAACTTAAAACTTTTAGACCTTTAAGAGTATAAAATTAATTTCACAGTGAAAACATTTCAGGGGGGCCAATGACATCTATTTAGTTTATAACACTTGTTTTTTGTCCGTCGTGCTGCTTTACTATGGTGTCTTTATGTTCAGTATTTTTGTTGTTGTGAATTATTGTGATTTAAATACATTAGATTTATATTATAATACACTTTAAACCATTTTTAAACAGTATTTACACATTTTGTATACTTTGCTTTAATATTTTTTATGGAAAACAATTTTTACCTGCTTTAAAATAATTTTTTTCGTAAAAAAATAGTCTAAAAGTTCTAAATAACAAAATGAGGAAAAAGGAAGACGTCAATTCTGAAAAAAAAAAAAGAATTATCTAAGATCTTTTTAAAGATAAGCATTACTTTTTTTTTTTTTAATTTAATTCACCTCCTTAAGGCCGAGAAGGCCACTACAGACGAGGAGGCTACTTATTTGTGGTTATAGCCCTCTCTCAACTCTATAACTCCGAAATACTAACCTTGCATAACAAGGCTGCTGTGCGGAGAAATGAGTTGAGCGTGGTACTACCAGGGACGTGGTGGGGATCAAACTCAGAACCACTCGTTTATGAAGCGAAACTCGTTTATGAAACTTGATAGGTGAAATATCAAGAAAATGCGAGAAGACGCACTATAAGCAGAAAAAGTATGAAATATTAAGACATACTGTCAACAGAATCAAAGACAAATTGAAAAATGGCCTCCCATTTATATTCAATTGCACGGTAAATGTAGTTGAAATTAGAAAATAACACCAAAGAATGATAGAAAGCTAGTAAAAAAAGTAAAAAAGTGTGGTCGAAATAAGAAAATAGCACCAGGGAATGAGAGAAAGCTGGTAGAAGTTAAAAAAAAAGAATTGTTACATACTCAGCATTTACTAGCAAAGTAAATAAGGTGGTACTAAATGTAGTAACAATCACTGTTCGACCAAGTTTATACAGATGGGGCATAGAAGACTAGAAATATTAACCAATTCTCAGAGAAAAAATCGTATTGGGCTAAAAAGTGCAGTAGTTTCACTGTTGATGACTAGAAATGTGTATGTGGTAGTGGTGTAGTGGTAAAACACTCTCTTCATAAGCGAGAGGTTCTGAGTTCGATCCCCACCACGTCCCTGGTAGTACCGCGCTCAACTTATTTCTCTGCGCAGCGGCCTTGTTTGTCAAGGTTTGTGTTTTGGAGTTATAAAGTTGAGAGAGGTTTATAATCACTATTAAGTAGCCTCCTTGTCTGTAGTGGCCTTCTCGGCCTTGAGGAGGTGAATAACAAAAAAAAAAATAAAAAAATAAAAAAATTGCCAAGTCATTAATACAAAAATAATTTTTCCTCCTAATATTCCAGTGTTGATATTTAGTGATGTTTTTATTTTATTTTCTCCAAGCATGCTTCAGAGAGGAATCTACCATAGAAACTAAAACTCAAAGGATCAATATGTGAATAGTGCTTCCAATAATTATTTTATAAAGATTGTATAATTCAGACAATTAAACACCCTCTGAAAGTCATGTTTTGGTTGGTTATTAGTGGAAAAGGCCTTGATCAACTGTACATTGTGAATGAAATGTTGAAACAGGACCAATACAAAAAATTCATTAAAACCAAATAAGCAGATGATATTTGGTTTAATTGGAAACCACTTTGACTTCCATTGCTAAAGTCTCAATTATGCTCTTCTACAGCTTGTGGTTCAGACACCAGACACCATTCCTAATTGCAATATTAAAGTTTTCCTCGAAGGTTAAAACTCTTCTTAATTTCCTATAACTACTGGAGTACCTCAAGGTTCTATCCTTAGTCCTCTATTGTTTCTTATTTACAATATGATCTTCCTGACAACCCTATATTCAAAATACCTCTACTAACAGATGAAAAAACTTATACTTTTATCTTGACAAAAAGTCTTCTTTATTTGTTTGCTTAGAACAGGCAACAGATCTTAAATCTAATTTCAATTCTGTAACAGCTTGGGGCTTGCAGCTTGTGAATTTCAATTCCAAAAAACTCTCCGCTATTTTCTCTAAACAACTCTCAGTACTATCGACGTTTCTATATTTATGAATAGCAACCCAATCATTAAGTATTCTTCTTTTTATATTCTTCAATTATCATTCACAACTGACTTCTCATGGAAACTATATATACAATTTATTGTTAAGTTAGCATCTGCTAGGGTTCCTTCTCAATTTGGTATTATTTTGCTCCTGATTCATTTCTCTGCCTTTTCAAACCTTTTATTCATCTTTATATGGAATACTGTTGTTATGTTTGGTCTAGTTCTCACAATGATGTCTCTAGTTTCATCAACCTAAACTAATTTTCACTTGATTTTTTCATTCAGCAATATTTTTTTGTATCTGTCCCCGCCTTTTTTTTTAAATTTATTCCTAGAAACTCTCAAAGATCTTTATGTTTTCCTGACTAAATACCTACAACTTTTTTCAAAAGTCTTCTGTTAATTGCTTCCTTGTTCTTTAACTCTGCTCTTTGATTTCTAGTAATTCCTAACTTAAAAAAGGTTGCTCACATTATATAATAGATTAAAAGTAATATTTATATATTCCTTTAGTTAGAACTTTAAATTTACCATTTGTGTTAAAAAAAAACCTGTTATTTACTAGTTGTCTTTAAAAATGTAAAAATCAAGTACACTTATATATATATAAAATATATAATATAATAAATATATATATATATATATATATATATATATATATATATATATATATATATATATATATATATATAATATATAATATATAATATATAATATATAATATATATATGTATATATATATATATATATATATATTATATATATATATATATATATATATATATATATATATATATATATATATATATATATATATATATTATATATATATATATATATATATATATATATATATATATATATATGTCTATATATATGTCTATATATATATATATATATATATATATATATATATATATATATATATTTATATATATATATATATATATATATGTGGTGTGGGTGTTTGTGTGTGTGTTCAAAACTATAAGTTAACTTGACGAGTTTTTTTTCCCAATTTGTTATTTCGTGTTTTTTTTTGTTTGTTTTCAATAGAAAATAGTACTTAAATTAAGAGCTCTAATTTAATATATTTTGTCACCATGTTTGATATGTAAGTAAGTGGTTGAGCTAATACAAGCTAACACTGGTAAAGGCATCTGATTGTAAAAAAATGCTTCAATTTTTTTAAAGTACTATATTCAAGTAAAAACCTGTTTAAACAACATTAACATGGAAACATGGATGTTCAATTAAAAACTACATTAATGTGGAAATCCGGTTATGATTATATTAGTTATCTAATTAAAAAAATAAGCTACTGGATGTTTTTTTTGTGTTAACCTATTTAACTGGAATGATAGGAAGAGTATTGCAACTGATTTATTTAAGCAATTATATTTTTTATTACTAAAATATTTACAAAAAAAAAATCTAAATTAAGTAGATTTATTATATTTTTAAAAATATTTATAGTTATTTAACATTAAATTTTTTTCATTAGATATAAAACATAAAAAAACATATTTATCCAGGGTTATACATTCTTAGTCTGCATTGAAATATAAGTATATTTTTGTTTTTAAGATACGTAATCTGACAAGACAATTAAATGAGCAAAAAGATTTGGTATGGAGTGAATATTTTTATTTTATTTAAAAATGTTTTGTTGAAACGTTGCTTTTATAATGTTTTTTCTTTTTTTGTAAAATAATTTTTCTCAGACTTTACATTGCTTTCTTAAGATCTGCATCTCATATAATTTAGTACTTCATTAGATTTTGCAATTAGTGTAAGGTTTTGCACTTTTTTATATTTTTTACCATTTCAGGTTTGCATCTCTTTAGCGTTTTTAACTCTTTTGATTTTGCAGATTTTTAACCTCAAAAATGTCAAAAAAGATAAAAAAGCATGATGCATTTTTTTATGATTTTCTTATTGATAGCTGAGAAAGATATTTTTTACTATTATATTAGTGACCAACACTTTCCCCTAAAGTGATTCTTATTCATAAATCATGCTTCATTTAGAGCAAAATGTATTACAACAGAGATTTCAGTTGTGTCCAAATAGTAGCCAGCAAATTTAGAAATGGTACCTATTATATGTCACTTACATTAACTAAATTAGATATGCAGGATATTCAAAAGTTTTATCTTGACTGGCAATTACATCCTTTTTATAATTTAAGACCTAAATACTACTGAAAATCAAGAAAATTATATTTGGCTAAACACAGCAAAGCAAAATAAATTTTATATTTATTTGTATGCATATTATATACATGTGATACTATATGTATTATTATGTATATGCAGTAGAATCCAGTTACCTTAGACTCTGAACGGGTATATATATTTTGTCCAACTTAGCGAATGTGCGAGTTAAACGAAGCTTTTTGTATGTATAGAGACTTCAAGGAAAATTGAAAAATTGTCCAACTTTGTAAAAGTCTGACTTATCAAGGGTCCGAGTTAACGGGATTCTACCGTATATTAAAAAAGTGAAACTTTTTGCATTAGTCATTGTTGGTATCTGTTTTGTTTTGTTTCTTTTTATAAACCATAACAGAAGTTCCAATGCGTTTAAGCTAACAAAAAGCTTTTAAAAGCAAAAAACTCATTTGAACAAATAAGAGCCATGGCTCTGTTTTTGATCAAATGAGTGATTTTTGTTAAGACTTTTAATGCTCTGGGTATTTAGGCTACATTTGTGCTTCTGTCTATCATATTGTGACCAGTTTAAATGGCAGACCAATACCAGTTTAAATCGCAATAATAAAGTGACAAAACAAATCAAAGTATATTGCAAACCGTGAAATAACACTACTTTAAATTTCAAATCCTACTTTAAATGGTTTACACACTTAAACTCTTCACTACCCTATTTTAACTTATGTATTTTTAAGATCAGTTAAGCGTTTAATAAGAGCATTTGAAGTTTATAAGTATTAAACGTTTTTATGAGAAAACTATTTAATAAATCTAGTTTTTATTGTTTTTATTTTATTGAAAGTATTTGAATTAATTTTAATTTTTTTAAAATATCATTTATTGCTGATTTTTATTTAAGATACTTAGTTTGACAAACCAGTTAAAAGAGCAAAGAGATCAGGTAAAGAGCTATGTTTTTGTTGATCGCACCTAATATGTTAAAAATAAGTTATATGTATAATAAAAGTTATGAAAAAAATATTATTATGTATCTCAGACTATTGCTTTGCTGCATTGTAAGAAATTTTTTACTTGCATTTTACTAATGATTGTTGAATCAAATGTAATGTTCGTGTAACATTTTAGTTGTACGAATTAAATCGGACCTTGTTAATTGTGTTATGTGTTAAAACATTGCGTCCATGAACATAATAAAAACAAAGCAAAACAACTATTTTCATAGTTTTCCTTTTTCCAACTCTTTTTACTCAAAATTTTCTCTCTATATATACAAAGTTAAAAAAGTCCCATGAAAATACTTTTAATTACAATCGTAATTAAAAGTATAATTGCAACTTTAACATAGTATAATGACAATACACTAACTTTAAAACAGAACATGCCCTTTTTGTGAATTAACTCATAAGTCTAAATTTATGAGTTAATAAGTTTTGTTCTGAGCGCGTTACTTGCAGTAAGTTATGTTCTTGAGAATTATTTTGAACTTGAATAATATTATTGTTATATCTTCTTTTAGCGTTATTAGTTTTATCTTTTAGTCTATAATAAAATTCTTAACTGATTCATTTGAACTCAGTAAGTCAGCAGCACAACAATGCAGGTGTGAAATGGTATGTAGATATATCCGATTTGCGATTCCTACTTAAAACGAAAAGGTATTTTGCTTACGTACTACGTAACCATTAAAAACGCTGTCCTCAAATTAGAAACAGTGCAAAAAAGGTTCTTATATTTTTTGCGAATGTGCAACTGTGTATGCGTTCAACTACACCGTTACTTTGAGCTCAATGGACTGCTTGATATTCCAAATTAACATATCATTCTTCAGCAAAACTTGTAAACGCGTTGGACCAAAAATTGTTGTCCATTAGAAGACAAACTACTGGTCCAAATAACCAAACAGACCACAGTCAATCATCAATAAGTAAAGTTCAGCATCTATGCTTTACGTCAACGGCAACCTGATTCCAATTTTGTTCTAAGCTCAGATGACCATGCTTTCACTTTACGGAAAAAAGATCAATGGAGTTGTACTTGTTACAATTCGCTATTACTGCTGAAACCTCCTTACATGATATATTCTGGTTATTTTGCAAGCATGGTTGTAACGCTTGAGCAATACCAAAACGACCAATTAAATGAGTATTCCATATGTGTTTAAGTAAACCAGCTGCATACACTATTCTGCACCATTTTTGAGGGAATTGTGAGTGTCGATTGACCATATTTATTTCAGATGGAATCGATTGTACTTAGATCTGTATTCCTTTTTTCACTTCCTTAATAGTATTTAACCGTTTTTGTACCAACAACTTTTCAAAATTTTCAAAATTTCCCGAGTTTTTACACGATATTCTCTTCCTTCAAAACTGCGTTTAACCAACCCATGGTCCTCTTGCTATCACTGTGTACTGTTAATTCTTTGCTAGCTAAGTTTATTCCTTAAAGTATTGAATCCATTTCACTAATCTTGATATTGAGTGTGTCACTTGCTGGCCATAGCCATGCTGCGTCTTTAATAACTACTCCACCAATGAGTAGAACTACCCCAAGTCCTATGGATAAAGCATGACAAAAAAGCTCAGCTTTTCCATTCAGCAGTACCAGGTGTTTCCCATGAATTGGATCCTCTTTTTTCACACAATGAAGCAACTCTTTCGGTTTTTCTTTACAACCTTCAGAAATAAAATCACACAAAGGAATACTTCTAGCTAAATGTTTAATGTATGAAGCTTGTAAGCGCAAATTTCTTGCCACAGGAAAATTAGTTTATCTAACTGGCTGAAATGCTGTGATCATATGACTGTATTTAAAGGTTCAAATTATACTGAATTTCCGGTTTTCATATCAGTTCCCCATTATTACTTATTTCAACTCTTAATCCTAAAACACGTCTCCGTTCAAGATTTTGTAGAAGTTTACATTTTTTAATTAAAAAAAAAAAAAAAAATAGCTTATTTTACAGCTTAGAAGCATACGACATGATAATTATACAAAAATATATACATTTTAGAAAAGTTGAATGTTTAAGCTATAAAATGGTATACAATAATGTAATTTTTAAATATGTATTTTTTTTATTTTTGTCTACCATCTGACCCATTGTGCATTGATGCATAAAAACATTCTGGTAAAGCAATGTCGTTTCCCATTTATAATTACCATTTGATATGGCCAATGTTTTTTATTTATATATATATATATATATATATATATATATATATATATATATATATATATATATATATATATATATATATATATATATATATATATATTTAGTTGCAGTTGCTATTCAAGAAAACTGATGAGATAGCAAACTTAACCCGTGAGGAAACTAAAAATTTAACAAAAAAAATTGAAATCAAAATGAAGATATTTTTCGAAAATCAAACAAATTTTATTGATACTCATATAAATGAGGTGTGTTTTTATAAATATTTCTTTCTTTTGGTTTAGAGTTTCTTCTTGTTATTAATGATGTTAATATTGAGATTTATTTTTATAACATTAGGTATCTAGTAATATTTCATCCATATTAAAAGATGTTTACTGGTTGAAAGATCAACTGGATCAAACTAATAGATCAGTATGTTTTTTTTTTTTTTAATGTAACATTATTCTATATAAAAATACTGAACTTCATAGTAGTAGTAGTGCCCTTTCGAGCCTGTTTGACACAGAGCTCATGGCAGCCATTGCAACCAAGCTAATAGCAAGAATGAGTTGCAGGAGCTTTTTTTTTTATAAGAAAACGTGAACGAAAGTGTATGCAAATATCCAACACAAACTTCTAATTTATGATGCTATACTTTTTAAACCACTTATTATTATATGTTATATTTTTTACGTTGCATTTTGTTATTTCATGTAATTATAACGTAACGATGTGTAAATTTATTGAAGTTGTAAAAAAATATATATATTTGTTGCGTATGTGTCATAATTGAGATACTTATGTTATTTTAGTTTTACATTTCAAGTTTTTTTACAACAAAGTTGAGTTTGTTCAAGAAAAAGGAGTATGCAACATGTTAATATATAGAATATAAAATCTACAGAACTGTAAAGTTGTTTTGTTTTGGATGCTGATGATTTAAACTTGCCACGCAACAACCTCAACTTTTTTTAAACAATAAGAGGGTTTAAAAATTTAAAGTTAAAGTTATTTAATATTGATAAAAGTAATTTAGAGTTTTACAGCTATTTTACCACGTTCCTGTTAAACATTCTAAACCGAGTTTAGAATGTTAAACAGGGTTTTTTGGCTTTATATAGTTTTTGGCTGATCCCTAATTTCTAAATTAGGTATTGTCCATAAATTACGCAATGCTAAATTTCACTTGTGAGCAAAACATAAAAGATCAAAATTTTCCCTCTCAGAGTCATATGTTAAATAATAAATCAAAACAGCTCATCAAATTTAATGAAAATTGCCGCCTAAAAGAACTTAAAATTTTTTAAAAATAAATTTAGTGTTGTGTAATTTATGGACGATCCCTTATCGTTTTATAGTCTATAGTTTTTAATAGCCTAAGATCTTTGTAGTTCTGCTATTTGTATAGCAATGTGTACAAGCGTCTGTAAAAGTAAATGTCTTTATCATATGTTGAGTTTGCAGCCAATATATGGAACAATTATGCATAATAAATCTTATAAGCTCTAGGTATGCTGAAAGGTGCTCGTGTTAATTGTTTGCTCTTTAAACAATTTTTTGAATGAATTATTTTACATAAAAATATCAAAGTAAACAAATCATAGGTATAGAAATAATCGGTGTAGAAAAGGTAGGTTTGGTAAAAACCTGTATTTTATTGGTCCGGAAAGTTAGGATATATAAAAGTAAAAAGCATAGAAAAGTTTAGTGTGGAATAGACTTACAAAAACTCGTATTTTTATGGGTTAGATCAGCTAGTATAAAATAATATTACTATTATATGTTTAATGCTGGAAAAATGATTTAATTTAAATAAAACAGTAATGTATTTTTAAAATAAGATAAAAAAGAATATTTATTTTCAGATATCAAATATTACTTTAAGAGAAGGTATTCAAGGACCGCAAGGGTATAATGGTTCAGAGGGTCCTGAGGGAAAATCAGCTAACTTTAAAAGTTGTAAATACTTTACTTTTGATACGAAAGGAACAGCTACATCTTTGAAGAATGAAAAGTTAAAAGTAAGTTTTGAAACTTTTCGTAAAGGTGGAATTTATTTAACTGCAAATTTACATTAAAAAGATTTTTTTTGCCAATTTTATTTTTTCTCATATAAAATAAAACTTAATTTTAATTTATAAAAAGCTTAGTTTTGTAAAGTGAAAAAAACATGACTTCTTTACCTCAAAATTTTATTTTTAGTATACAAGTATACAACATTAGCACACACACGCACACACATCTACATATATGTATATATGTATACACATATATACATATACTTATACAGATACATATATATTTATATATATATATACATCTATATATATATATATATATATATATATATATATATATATATATATATATATATATATATATATATATATATATATATATATATATATATATATATATATATATATATAAACTTCTGCTCAGCACAAAATGTAAAAATACTTTTAAAAATAAGACAACTTTTTTAATTTTATTTAAAAATATTTTATTATTTTAAGACATGTTTTGACTATATAGTCAGTTAGTTAATTAGCTATTTAGTTAGTTAGTTAGTTACCCGCAATCCAACCTTATCTTGGTGTAAAAAGCACCTTAGGTGCACTGTTCCGGGTTTTTTGGAACATGTTTAACTTATTCTTAAAGACATTTAGGCCTTTAGCATTAACAATCTCATCTTGTTTGGCAATTTCAGCTGTTAACAACTTGTTTTGTAAAGAAGTTGTTATTATTGGATCGAAGTATCTCTATGACCAACCAACTTTAATGACCAAAGCAAGGCGCAGGGCGCATCTGAGTGTGGTGCCAGTTAACAGTTTCTTTACCAGATTTTGATTTTAAAAAGCTGGATTAAGTCTTGACAATGCCGTCTTTCTTTGAGCGTGGTCAGGTCTATAATTTATTGTCTTTTTTCATAAGGTAGATGCTCTATACTATGAGCTATCTTAGTGGCGTGTCTCTGTTATGTAAGTTATTTATATCTTAATGTGGGTTTCAACTTTGGACAGAGGATTCAAGATGAGGACAAACGTTGCCACATTATGCGAAACAAATGTCCTTATAAGCATGTGAAGCAGCTTGTTTGCCTTAGAGATAGCAATGCATACCTGGGCGCTATGTTTGAGGTTGATGCAAACAAAGATTCCTAAATTACGTTCTGATGAGGTTAATTTTAAATAAAATTGGGGCAATTAACCACATCTAACATTGTATAGGTGTGGTTTTTATTTAGGCGACTGATGTGTCGAAATAAAAGAACTTTGCATTTAGAAATGTTTAACCTCATATGCCATACTCTTGTCCACTCTATTATTGCATTAATATCATTTTGGAGCACAGTACTATAATGTTCTTCACCAAGTCGAATTAGGGCAAGTAGATTTGTGTCATCTGCAAAACTTTTACAGGATGACTTAAATCTATTCGACAGGTCATGTATAAAGATCGCCAAGATCATTGGTCCCAATACTGACCCTTCAGAAATAACGCTTAAAACCGGTACTCAATACCGTTTCCAATACTGTTTCATCCATGATCACTCTTTGTTTACGTTTGATTATAAAAAATTTCACCTATTTTAGAACTTTACCATTAATCCTGTACCCTTCTAGTTTCAGGATTAGTCTCATATAGTAAACCTTATCAAAAGCCTTGTCAAAGCCAAGAAGAATAAGTCTACAAACAATCGATTAGCTAATGATTTTGGTAAATAGTCCGTAGTTTTAACGTGGTTTGTAGAGCATAATTCACGGAGAAAAAAACATGCTGTTCTTGTGTAATTAAATTGCCGTAAATTAGGTGCGCTAAGATGCTTCGTTTAACTATATTTTCCAGTAGTTTGGAGGTGACAGAAGTGATAGTGATATGTTGATAAATTCTTGGTTTGGTGGTCAAACCTTTTTTGAATATAGAAGTAATGTTTGCTACTTTCCATACAGTAGGAACCTCACCTTGAATAAGAGATTATTGAAACAAAATATTTAAAGGTTTTGCCCATGGAATGCTATGTAAAACTATTGGATGAATGTTATCATAACTTTGCGTTTTATTTAGATTTATTTCTCTAATAAGTTGATCGACTTTATTATTATTATTTTTTTTAAGTTGATTTAAGTGCCCTAAGAAGTCCTTACGGTCTTATCATAGAGCACCGCGGAGAAGCATTTAATAGGAAGTTCACGCCTCAACCGATGTCGCAAAACTTACCCAGAGGTGTGGTTTGAACCATGGGTCTTACGTTTCTGAGGCAAGTGCGCTACCACTGCGCACGGCTGCTTATTTTAGCATTATTACTAATTCTAATATTGCCAATTTTATTGTTATTCTTGATAAAAAATTCGCCGAGCACCCGACTAGATTCTGAGTTGTAGACGCTTTAAACTGTTAGTTAAGAATGTTTGCTTGTTGTTGTTTATTGGTCGTTATTAGACCAGAGCTATTGAGTAAGGTGGTAATAACAACTTTACTCTTGTTTTTGCTATTGGTATACACGAACAAACGTTTCAGATTTTTTTTATCATAAGCAAGGTGGAGTTCAAATTTATTTCATGCTTTTTTTCTAGTTTACTTCAAACTATTTTTTATTTAGTTGTAACGTGTTTTTAAGTTGGTGAACTTCCATTTACTTGTAATTTTTAGATGCCATAGTCGTGATTTTAATCTAGGTTGTTTCATAATCATTTTTCATATCAAGGCACTGTCAGATTTTGGGTTAGATATTGTATTATGATTGGGATTGACTCAACACATAGTTTTTTGTAAATAGGCACAAAGGTATTGTAAGCATCATTTATATTTTTGTTGGCTAGTAATGATGCCCAATCAATATTTGATAGTTTAGCAGTGAAGTCACCTTTTCTAAAGGTAAGTTGGAGCTGGTGAATTTATTTCCTAATTAATAGGAAGACTATAGCTCCAGAGTAGATTTAAGCTAGATTTAAGCGAGCTATACCCAGTGGGGGCCCTGGTCTGATGTTTAATACACTAAGAGGATTTTTGCTTATAATATAGTCAAGTGTTTTTTTGTGAGCCATCGCACATTATAAAAGTAGGAAAGACTACATGTTGAGATAAAAACTCGTCGGCTAACATGTTGATGAAAATTTGTCCTGGGCTGTTATCTTGTCCGAACACATTGACTGATGTATCTGGAGCCCATCTATTAGTTCCATCTTGTAATGTGACCTATTAGTAGTTGGGAATAAAATCGCCAACTACTAATAGGTCACAAAACTGTTTGTTCGAAAATCATTGCAATTAAAACTTGTTGTTGATTTTAAAATTTATAAGGTTGTTACTTTAGTGGTTAACAGAAGGTTGAGGCCTATAGGTTACAATAAGTAAGAAGGAATAGTTATTTATAGTGAGTGAAACCCAAAGTTGTTCAGATGCTACAAATGACAGTCCAGGCACAGTCTCAGCTCAGATTTGACACGCTTGGTGTTTAAAAGGTTATTTAGAGTGTATAATGCAAAGCCCCCGTAGCTTTCAGTTATAAAAACTGCATGAAAGGTGTTGGAGGAAAGGCGTGCTAATAGTTCCGCTAGTTTATCCGAATTCAGAGGCGTGACATTAGATTAGTAACAATTTAATATACAAAGAGGTTTCACACTTAATCACTTCATGTTAATCACTTCATTATCAGTGTAGTTTATTTTCCTAGGGGTTATGGTTGATAGTCTTATTATAATATTACCTTTGGCGGAGCTAATTAGTACGCATTTGTAGCTAGTCGATCTCTGAGAGATTGCTGTCAAGAGTGCTGCAGAATTTTTGGCAAAACTGGTTGTTCTAGTTGTTGGTGATACTATTTCACTGAAAGATTTTTTAGTGGATTTCGTGCTCTATATTAAATTTATCGTTCCAGTTCTTCAATTTTATTTTCACCACTTAGGAGTTTGAACGATTTAGAAAAACATTTAAATCATTCATTATGTTACTTCAAGGTGTCTGAATGATCACTTGACCCATGGCCTTCATATATGATTGCATCAAGTACTGTTAAATCCGCTTACTTTTTTTATTTAAGGAGGGTAACCACCCAGAATAACAGAGGATAACCACAAAAAACTATTAGTCACCATCAATTAAAATATATTTGTTAAAAACGGTATACATATAATATATAATTGTAAAAATAAAGATATCAATAGCCATATAAATTGATAACAATCTTTAATATAGATATTTATATATATATATATATATATATATATATATATATATATATATTATATATATATATATATATATATATATATATATATATATATATATATATATATATATATATATATATATATATATTATATATATATATATATATATATATATATATATATATATATATATATATATATATATATATATATATATATACAATTCATATATATATATTTATATATACAAATATATATATATATATATAAATATATCCTTATAGTGTATTCGAAAGAGACTTTTATGGTAAAAAAAAGTCTCTTTTGACAACAATTTTTATTACCTTGTCTCTTAAGCTGTATTTGATTGTCATCGAAAAGTATTTGATTGTCATCGGAAGTACATTAGATTTATAATAATGACTAGAAATTTTTTTTTAATTAGTGGTGTTTTTGTTTTTGTTTTAATAAAAAACATTTTTAAAAAATGCATAAGTGTTGCTACATCGACTATCTTATAGCCTGCTGCTACAAGGGAGTGTTGCTACATCGACTATCTTATAGCCTGACTCGCAACGGAGTGCTGCTACATCGACTGACAAATAGCCTGACTTGCAAGGGAGTACTGCTACATCGACTGACAAATAGCTTGACTCGCAAGGGAGTGCTGCTACATCCACTGACAAATAGCCTGACTCGCAACGGAGTGCTGATACATCGACTGACAAATAGCCTGACTCGCAAGGGAATACTGCTACATTAGATTTATAATAATGACTAGTACTAATAAGTATATTAACATTTATTTTACAGTACAATGTAAAACAAATTCGTGACGCTATTTTGTT